AAGAATCTAAGTGAAAACAATGAGGGCCCAAACTAGGGTCAGGGGTGGGATTGGGGTGGGGGCAGTGAAGGGGGAGGAGGTAAGAGACCAAGAGCTATTGAGAAGGTGGAATCCTGGGAGCTGGTGTCTAACCGAACATGGTGGTGAGAGAGAAGAAAAATTCTCCAGTGACTGCCCAGGCACAAGGCTTGGTTGCTGGATGAAATCTTTCTGAAAGAGAAAATGTAAGAAAGGGATCACGTTCCAAGGAAGAGATGAGAAGCTTCGTGTAAGACATGTTGAATTGGGAGGTGCCTGTGTTGGGCATCCATGTGGAAACGGTAAGACGACAGCTGGATGTTCAGATCGTTTCTTTTTCACTGACACAGAAAGATCCTTTCAGGATCTATAGCTCCCCTATATTTGTTATGTGGACACACATCAAAGGACCATTCACCCTGTGGAGGGAAGTGTGCCTGTCAGCTCGGCATCAGACTTCCCCCACAGGGCAGGGAAGGACTGATGCTGGCCCTGAACTTAGGTGAGCAGAGTTTTCTCTCTTTAAGGCATCATCCCTTTGCTGTCAGGCTGCTTTTCTGGAGAATCCTGGCAGGACAGAGCAGGTGTCTTATCCGATCAGGAGGGCGCTTAGCTGCTGTCTTCATGCATGCGAAGAACATGAATGAAGTTGAATATGCATGCATTCAACTAAAAACATCCAGTTAAGAAAAATAAAGCATTAGCTATCTTTCTATACTAGTATCAAAAAAATTTATTAATAATATGACTGGATAAATCTGTCTGATAGGCATTCCATAAAAGTCATTAATGTCTCTCTATCGTCCAAGAGATTTTAGAGAACAGAAGTTCAAATATCAAATGGCAAACAGACATAAACAACCACGCTCAGGCTTAACATGACTCAACATGGACAAATATATAAATACCGAAGTATGTAGTTTGAGGAAGGTGAGCTCAGAGAGTTGCACAGGGAGGCAAAAATACAGAAAAACAGTCACCTCCCTTTTAAACCATCAAGGAAACCTTCACTGTACACAATATTTTAGCTGTGTGTAGAATGATGAGCTTGGATTTCTGGGGATAGCAGAAGTTTCTACAGGGAAGAAATAGCCTGGAATGATTTGTAGAAAGGAGTGGGATAATTTGGTGATAGAACTGCATCTGTTTTCTTGGGGAGAGATAATACACTGGATCTTGGAGGTAGGGAGTCGAGATCACAGATGAAACTTTCTCTGGGAAGCCATTTGGTTACTCCTCCTGCCATAATGTGTGCACTCAGCAACAGCAACCACTACATTGCACCATGTTAGGAGCAGGTGCAAAACCATCCCCTATCCTGGCTTATTAGATAGAAGTGAATTTTTTTTAAGATTTTATTTATTTATTTGAGAGAGAATGAGACAGAGAGAGAGCACAGGAGAGGGGTTAGGGTCAGAGGGAGAAGCAGACTCCCTGCCAAGCAGGGAGCCCGATGCGGGACTCGATCCCGGGACTCCAGGATCATGACCTGAGCCGAAGGCAGTCGCTTAACCAACTGAGCCACCCAGGCGCCCCAGAAGTGAATTTTGATCATAGTTTTATTATGCATTCTTCCCAGCCTTAAGTTGAGTGTTGTTATTCCTACTGTTGTAAGTTTCCAATTTTCAAGTATCATGACAATGTGCTTAAGCAAGCATATTTTAGGAATTAAAAATAGGTTTCTATTTCAGGTGAGAGAAATAAACTGCATGGGAAGAGGAACTCCTAAACAGCAAGGAAATTATTTCCATCCAAATATCCTGAGTGTTTAAAAAATAAAAAGAGACTAAAAGGAATCCAGAACATTTGCAATACTACAGTATTTCTGCCACAAAATGTTGGTGCAATGAGCACTTTTTTAACTGCAACCAAACCACCGTTACCACAGGTAACTGAGTGCAGAACAGGTTTTGCAAACTACAATTTATAAACAGAAATTTCCCAGGCTAGACTTCTTTTAATACTTGTAAATTTAATTATGATGTTTATTTTAAAACAATACCCCCAAAAAGGCAGTGATTTAAATTTTTTTAAAAGATTTTATTTATTTATTTGACAGAGAGAGACACAGCGAGAGAGGAAACACAACAAGGGGGAGTGGGAGAGGGAGAAGCAGGCTTCCCACCGAGAAGGGAACCTGATGCGGAGCTCGATCCCAGAACGCTGGGATCATGACCTGAGCCAAAGCAGACGCTTAATGACTGAGCCACCAGGCGCCCCTGATTAAAATTTTTTAATGTAGAAATCAGAAGGACAACATCAATCCCCATTTAGAATTGAGTACATTTTTAAGTCTTCCTCAGTCTGACCTGAGAGGGATTCATTTCTCATACTCCACTGTGTGCCAAATAATAATGAAAATAATAGCAATAACAAAACAATTATTACTGAGCACATATTATGTGTAAGGCATTGTTCTTAAGTGTTTTTCATGTGCCGGTTATCTAAACCCCACAAGTGTCTGTGAGGAGGTACCTTCCATGATGGAAAAAGTCAGCACTATCTACAGTTTCAGACCCTGAAAATTTCCAGGAAAGATTATTTAATGTGTTTTGAGTATTAACAGGAAACAGGACACAGTCTAAAGAAACCAGTTCCATAATTCAGATATTCAAAAAGATTTTAAGAGTGTACTATAGGCTAGTCATATTAACTGGATTGTAAAAATATTTTAAGGAGGAGAGGAAAACTTGGCAGATGGAGAATAAGGAAATTTTACAGCTGAGTTAGAGTTGGCCTAGAAGAAGACTCCACAGGAAAAAGGATATTGAAGGGAATGGGGAAAATCTGGTAGAGGATCGGGACCAATTTTTAAAGTAAAGCCCAGACAAAACATGTTCTCATAATTCTGTGTTTTGTCATTTTATAACTCGGGCTATTCACAAAGGCAGTGTGGTGCAGAAGAAAAGATTCTGCACAGACAGAGGATCCAAGGGGCTGAATATTCACCTTTGTTCTGCCATTTATTTGGTGTGTGACTTTTCAAGCCACTCTTCTTCCTTGAGCTTTATTCCCTCAATTCTAAACTAAGGGCAATGATATGTAGGTATTGTTGTGAATATTAAACAGATAATACGTTTTCAAATATGTAAAATGCTATACAAATGAATGATATTGGCTGTATTATTTTCAGGTTCAGTCACTGAACATTACTCTTCCTTTTTTTGATCTTTTGTCTTGTTGACATAACAAGGTATCTTGGCATCAGCTTAGAATTCAGTTATGCTAAGCTTTTGAAATTCTTAACTAGAAAGGCAGTTAGATGACAGAAAGAGAAGGTGGTTTTGAGCCTGAAGCAAGACTGAATTCCTGAACTCTCACTTCAACTTATACACCAAGGTCATCAAGTCCTAAATCAATAGAATTTTTCAGCCAACCCTGCCCATCAACCATCATGGAAATCTACCCTTGCATAGCCTTAGGCAAAGGATGAGTGTGAATTTGGACTCAAATACAATCTAACTGGGGATAATGCCAAAGACCAGCTTAATAAATCTATATTGTGGTAAGAGAGAGTTTATTTTCTGATCCCAATACATAAATCTTGCAGGAGTTTAGATGTACTGGTTATTCTGGTTAACTGCAGTTTACTCTATAGAGCGATCATAGGTCAATCTTCCTTCTCACCATCATGTCAAGGGGAACTCAGCTGCAACGGTGTCTCTGAGGTTTGGTATGGTACGATGGCGAGTAGGGGAAGCAAAGGTGGCAGGTCTGGGTCTCCTACTTACAGCGCTGATAGCTGGAGTTGGTAGAAAAATATGGCAAGTTGTACCAAAGGGAATGTAAGGCCAGAGCTGGGGTAACAGTAGAGAATCATGCAATGTATCCATTGGGGGCAGAACAAATGCCTGAGCCAAGATCCAGAGGGAAATAGGACAGAGGAATGGAGCCAGTGAGGGTGGGACGTGACAGCCGGGAGGAAACCAGCCTAACAGAATTTGGGTTTGCTGTGCTGGCACTTAGAGTAGATTCATTAAAAGAGGCTACAATACAAAAGGGTGTAACTAGAGTGAATATATATATGTATATATATTCCTTTTTCTACCACTTTTAATAAATACCTCTCTATATAAACATTCCAAGAAATAATTAATTATGAAATTATTGATAATGGGGACATCAGCATTAGGCACTCACAAAAACATCCCTATAACCACTACAGCCAGCCGACAGATATGATGCTGAACCTTAGGACTCTTATGGTCAGTTGAGTTTTCTAGTTGTTTGGATGGTGACCAGTCAAGAGAAAAAGGAACATTTTCAAAACTACTGACTTAGAAGAGTCAGTCATCAAACAATAAGTAAAATATCAGTTCCAACAAAGGAAAATCATAAAGGCAGAGACAATAAGATATTAGGAGGAATGGTATTTATTCCAGTACTTGGGTAGAAAATCAACTAAAAACTTTGACCAGTGAAATACAATGAAAATCTGAGAAAAAGGTAACTGACCCCTGGAGAATGGTTTACTAAACCTAGGAGGAAAGACAAAGTCAAGGTGAATTAACAGAATATTTGCTATTGATGCACCTTATAAATTTGATTGAGAATCTTGAAATTCTCATTGATAATTTGTATCCCTAAATTCTGATCATCTTCATAAGGTTACACACTAATGGAAAAATTTGACACTGTTTTAAAACAATACTTCCAACAATAGCTTTTTAAAAATGCAATGGGAGACAGAAATTGAAAAGTGGATAAAAAGAAATAATGCTCACTTTCATAAATTCTGAGACTTATTCCTACCTACCCCTAGCCTAGGTACAATGAAAGGGGAATGATGAAGGCCTAGCGAGGTGAATGAGTTAAATTCTCCAGGGGAGCATTGTTTGAGAGTTACTATGTGGAGGAGTTGGGCTCTCAGGCAGAAGTGACCACACTGTCAATGAAGGCGGAATCTTTCATTATTTATCTCAGAGGGTCTTGGTCTGTTACGGAAAAGGAATGGATGTTACATAGCTGACAGCAGCCCTTACCTGACCTTGAATCCATGACTTTGGATAATCTGGATCTCAATATTTTTCCTCCTAAAGGGAAAAAAACAGAGTGACACTTTTCAAAGTATGCAGGAGAAAACTATGCTGAATGTGGGTAACTCTTAGGATTTTTATGATAATATTGTAAAACAAAATTGATGACTTCCTTCTTCCTGGCGTCTGTAAAAACTTACACCAAAATAGTAATAATGATATTACAAGGATGTGGAAATAATGAATATGGCAGGATAAGAAAACTCAGATATTTATCAGCATGATTTTTTTCTCACTCATCATCCACCCCTCCAACCCCTCCCCCCAACTCTCCGCTTGCGTTTAGGCTCAGAGAAATGTACCCCTGTTTGCCCCATTGGGAGATTACAAAAACTTTGCTGGCAATCAAGTGAGACATCTCAATGTGAGCCTAAATTTTAAATAGAAAGTTTTAAGAGGCAGACAAAAGTGGTCAGAGGAAAAAAAGAATAGGAATTCTGTCTGCTCTCTGTGCCCTCCCCATAGAGATATGAGAAGGGAAGGCAGAAGAAAGGAGTGGAAGGGTTAGATATAAGTATGGGGAGCCCTATGCCTTGTGCCTTTCCTCAGGCGGAATGGAGAGTTGAGGATGGGCACCCCACAAACATGGTTATCTCTTCAAGTATCTTCTTTCTCCCTTTGTTCCCTTTAAGTCTGATGATCCACAAGTAGAGAACCCGCGCCTTTGCTCTAGGGGAGGTCCAGGGAAACTGCAAGCTGCTCAGGAAAGAAAGCACCGCCTCCCCCCACCCCCACCCCCATTCAGTTGGTGCAGACAGTAAACTGCAAATGTAGCTAGACAGTAGACTGGAGAGGACTGCAGAGAGGCCCCTTCCCCTAGTTTGGGTCTTAGTACTGGACAAAGGGGTTTCATATTGGAAGGATATGGCATGGGCCTGGATATGGCATCGGCGCTAGAAATCTGTTGAGTCCACTGCTATATCTTGGCTGTCTCCTGCAGGAAGTCAAATTGGCTTCCCCAAACTATCTTTTTACATTTTGATGGATTGTGATTTACTACCTGGGTGGAGGATGTGGCAAGTCACACCAAGGAGAGAGGAGTGAGAAGTCCATACACAGTTTGCCACCATGACAGCAATGTAAGAGGGGACAGAAAGCAAACATCTTGAAAGGGCTGAGTTTAAAACCTGAAATGGCTTAACAACAACAACAACAACAACTTTGGCTTACCTAATGTGATAAGATCAATTTTCTACAACAGGTTAAAAAAAAAATTGAAGGTGAGTTTCAAGTCAGAAAATAATTTAGTCTTTCAAGATGAAGAAAGTTTCATTTCTTGCACACTGTGAACTTTGTGCCTGCTGTAACAATAATGTCTCAAATATGCTCTTTTGAGGATCTCTGTTCCTCTCTCAAATATGCTCCTGGATAATTATTTGGCTGCCACTAAAGCAGCAATCTGAGTTGTATGGCAGCCAAGAAAATCTCAGATCCTATGTTTGCTAATTGGATATAACAATTCATGCTCAGGGGCAGCAAACAAAATGGGCTTTACTCTGCCAGAATTGTTTTGGCTTCCATTTTTTTTGGTTAGCCCCAATCCTTCATTCCAAGTTTTCTGAGCCCTAAAACTGCTTTCCTGGTGAATAGCAATTCTCTGCCCAGGTATAAGAAATGCTCATTCCACTGTATCTGGAGAGGTTAAGTCTTTCTGTGTGAGAAGATGAGGGTTGGCAGTTGGATAGGACTTTATGCTTCTCTGAAACTTGATCACTTTAGAATTAATAAGAGCAAATATTGGAATTAATTCACAAGCAAGTAGAAGTCATAAACACTAGACAATAATATTCAGGCATATGACCTTTCCATTTTAGGTATCCTATAAATGTAAGTCATAAGTTGCAAATCAAATGACTAAGAGAAAAGTCAATGATTCTAGGTTTAAGTAATTAAAATTCAATATTTGGTTCTTAAATTATAAAAGAGAGACCCAAATGATGGTCTCTGCCTGATCTCTGCAGTGGATGCTCAGATTACTAAGAAATGTTTGGGAAAGGGGAAATCAATTAGATTGAATCTTTGTAAGATCTCTGATGATTTCAGTTTTTTTCCCTTCTATATGTAAAGTTTGAAGCAGAGAAAATGACCATGAAGAGGAAATTATTTTGGGCATTTAGAACTTTGCATAAGTCCAAGTTCTTTGACTTGAAGAGTTCTTATACTTTTCTTAAAAGGCATTAGGGTACAACAACTAACAAACTCAACTTTTATTTCTATTACTTTTTACAGTTTTTGTTTTTGTTTTTTTTAATTTACCATTCGATTTGATCTCTACAGCATGCCTTATTTTTTCCCATTTTAGAAAAGGACGTTTATAATGTGAGTGGTTAAGTGAAATGCTAAAGTGTTATACTGACTTACTAGAAGCCAGAAGGGACTCCTGCCTTCTGGCCCAGAGCCCATTGATTCATTCTATTGCAAGTAACTGTTCCATGCCCCAGGGACACAGCAGGGAAGAAAACAAAATCCCTTACAAGGAAATGTAGTGTCAGTGGCCAGTGCTATAGAGAAAATAAGGCTAAGTAAGGGACCTGGGGTGGGGATGGGAAATGCCTGACTGTGTGTGGGGGAAGTGGGGGTAGAAAGGGTAAAATTGCTCCTATTTCATGGGAAAAAGTCAAAGAAGGCCACATTGTTAAGGTGACATTTGTGACAACTGGGCAGAGATATGAAGGTGTTGGGGAGCAAGAATTTCCTACCCCCTTCAAGGTCCTTCTAGTTAGACTAAGAATCAAATGGACATGAAACAGATTAATAGAAGCAAATCAAATTTATTTTTGTACATATGGGAAGCCACACAGACATGGAAATTCTAAAGATAGTCAGGCAAAAAGAGGTATATGTGTCATTCTGAACTGAGGAGAAGTAGGTAGGGATCTGGGACTTCAATGGGAAGGAAGCAATTCACAGGAAGATGAGAATGAGTAAATGTTTGGTAAATAAATGTTTGCTGGATCACAGAAACACTGGGACACAGAAGACTTTCATCAAAGAAGCCTTGGTAGGTTCTTCCCTGTTGACCATACCTAGTTCATAGAATTATGTAGTTATCTATGGTGATAACTCTCCTCCTGGAGCAGGTCCTCTATCTAGGCAGTTGTGAAGGAGCTAAAGAGCTTTTCCTAAATCTGCTGGGGTTTGATTGCTTTTCAACTCAAAATAATCTTCCTACCAAAGTGGCCCATCTTCGAGTGGCCTGCCTTGGGCCCCTACAAAGGAAATTTGGGAATGTATCACATGTGAAGATCAAATATGGGGGAAGAGAAGTATTGGCCAGGGGTGGGCCAAAATCTATCCAATGAAGTTTTATTGGAACACATCCATGCTCAGTGGTTAACATATTGTCTATGGCTGCTCCTGTACTACATTGGCAGGGTTGAATAGTTGTGACTGAGGCCATATGTGGCCCATAAAACTGAAAATATTTGCTATCTGGCCCTTAGGAAAAGTTTGCTGACCACTGGTTTATGCAGAGGGAACAGCAAATACAAAGTCCTAAGGCACAAGTGTGCTTAGTGTACTCGAAGAGTAAAGAAAGCAAGTGTGGCTATGGTGGAGTCAACAAGAGAGAGAGACGACAAGAGGACAGAAGGAGAGTAGGGAGCAGATCTTGCAGGGCTTTTCTAGGCCTTTCTAAAGGATTTTGGGCTTTACTTAGAGAGGGACAGGAAAACCACTGGAGGTGACTGAGTATAGAACTGACATAAACTGATCTACCTTTTAAATTGTTCACTCTTTTTAGAATAGATGAGAGGAGATTAGTCTGGTATATAGTCCAATGATCCAGATGAAAAATGGTGCTAGCTTGGAATAAGGCACAAGAAATGGAAGTTGTGAGAATATGTCAAATTCTGAGTATATTATAAAGATTGAGCTGATGCGATTTGCTGATGAACTTGAAATAGAGGTGTGCATTTGTGTTGGGGGCTGGTGTGTGTGTGGGGAGACAGTAAGAGAGAGGGTGGTACAAGGTTACTTGTGTGGGCCTGAACATCTAGAGGATAGGAATGCCATTAACATATAAAAGGCAGATTGTGGGAGATGTAAGGTATAGTTTACTATGAAAAGTGAAGAATTCAGTATGGACATTAAATTTAAGTGTCCTTTGAATATCTAAGTGGAGATGTCAAAGAGGCACATATGCAGCACATCGGGGGTTCAGGAGAAAGGTTGGAAACAGACATATACATTTTGGAGTCATCAACGTTGAGATAACATTTAAGTCCCAAGAACAGAATAAAATCACCTAAAGAGTGGCTATTGACAACACAAGAGAATGATTTGAATAGCGACCATTTAATTTCAATATACATGACAGGTTTTGAGCTAGGAACTTTATACTCTTACAACACTTTACTTCGGTAGGTATCTGTACACCTATTTTACACATGTGAAAATGAAAACTGTGGTGTTAAATGACTTGTCTGATGCCACTTAGCTAGTGGCCTGAGCCGTCCCTTTTCTGTCATGACATAAGAAATAGAAAAACAAAAGACTGAACATTGGCCCTGCATGTTTAAATAAAGAGGCAGTCGAATTACCCAAGTGGGTTGCACATGAACTCTGCTCAAAGTTTCAACTGCAGGAAGATGCCTCTTTAAGGAAACCACTAGACTGGTGAACCATGATAATAATATCATGGAACTTCCTCCTCAATTTCCTGAATTGAACAAACTCTCTCGTCATGAATAAGCAGAACATGTCTAGTTTATGAGCAGATTAAGAGGCAGCCACTGAAGAGGAATTCATGCATCGATGTCATGCACATTTTAAGGCAAAATAAGGATACGGAGGTTAGATGCTCGTACAGGACACTGGACAGATCCTTTATTAAATGAGAAGAAACAAACCTCCTGCCTGAAAACCAGGTATGAATTATGTGAAACAACACAGAGACAGAGAATATTACTTAGCAATAGATGTGACTCGTCTCCCGCATCCCAACGTCATTACATCCTTATAGTGTGGCATTTACCCTCACAAATGTATTAGCCCTA